GCTTCATGCCTGTTGAACAATGCAATCTGGACTACAGGCCAGAAAGAGGTTCTGCCATTGACCCACATTTTGATGATTGGTGGCTGTGGGGAGAACGTCTGGTTAGCTTAAACTTGCTCTCGAAAACTGTGCTGTCCATGTCTTGTGATTCAGAGGACAGCATCCAATTATTTCCTACTTTCAGTAATGAAAACAGGGAATTAAATCCCCCTGGATCTCTTACACGAACGTCACCATGTGAGAATTCAGGCAAACAGGGAAGCAGCTGCCTTTTATCCCCAAGGCTCGTCCCAAGTAAGGAAGTGACTGTTGCCATTCGCTTACCCAGGAGATCTCTGGTGGTGCTGTATGGTGAGGCTCGCTACAAGTGGAAGCACGCCATTCACCGCAGGCATATCGAGCGTCGGCGAGTGTGTGTCACGTTCAGAGAGCTGTCTGCAGAGTTCAGGGCTGGAGGAGGGCGTGAGGAGCTGGGCAGAGAACTGCTGGAGATAGCTCTTTCCTTTCAAGGGACACCGGTGTGATCAGCAAAGGGCTGCTAGAATTGTGTCTTAAATGTGAAAAATAAAAACCAGGATTTGTGGAATTGGATTTATTTCTGAAGTGTACATAAGAAACTGGGTATGCGTGGATGTTAACAAACAGTTTTTTGTGAAGGCTGTCCTGGGCAATGGCAGCTTTTATGTCATCCTGCTTTACTGCTACCTGTGCCCTAGGTCCACACGTGTCTTCTCACCCACTTCAGATTGTTCCTTGAGAGAGAAGCTCTCCAGGGGGCAGGCAAGCATCTCTCCACAGATTGTACAATGCTAAGAACTAATTAAAGTAATTATCCTTTACTGAAGATTTATACTTTAACAGTGAGGATAAGCCATAAATGCTGTGTGTGACCTGTATCTCCTGGGACAAAAGAGCTGCATTTACAGAGGGCCAATGCTGACTCTTCCACAGAGACAGCTTGGCACAGCTCAGACCAGAGACTCTCACAGGCTGTGTTATTTTCTGGTCGTTTGTCATCTCTGAACCCCGCTGTCAGCTCTCAGTATTGAGAGTCAGATTTTGGGAATAAGCTGGGCAACAGACTGCAGCACCAGTGGCTGTCGTTTTTTTTTCTTGGCACCTCCAGCAGTCAGGTGTGAATCATACCTTGTACCTAAGATTCAAGCAGGCGCTGATTGAGGGCCATCTGTCTGTTCAGAATGAACTTCTGTGCTCTTGAAAATGAAGCTGTGCTGTGGAAGAAGCATGACACACAGTTTGTATCATCAAAGCCATTCAGCATTGTCACAGATATAGAAATGATACTTTGCAATGCTGAATGGTTTTGTTAAGAAAAGGGGCCTGTTTCTTAGGTGAGATTTCAGCATCCTTGTACAGCTATATCCTGTCCTAGAAATACTTCCTTGGCACAGCACATGGTTTTTAACGTATCAGTAATGCATTCATGCTGCAGACTGCCCTCTGCTGCAGGCATTGCGGAGGAGGCAGCTCCTCAGCCCGACTAAACTAGGTTACTAAAAATCAGGTGAATCAGGACATTTGAAATGATGACTGCTGTGCTCCTTCAGGGCTGCAGTGAAGCTGTTTTAGTTTAGCCCTGTGTTTAAGCCGTTGTGGACACAGCTACACAGTGATTGCAGCAGGGATCAGCGAGCACTGCTTCCGTGGGCAGTCCTAAACTGCAAACCTCCACCCACACCCACAGCATCACTGCCTCAGCAGCAGTTCCAGCATGCCCTCTCTGACAGAAGGCTGTCACTGCAGTGAGGAAGCTGAGCTTTGTAAGAAGAAAATTCTCACGGAAATCTCAAAATTGCAATTCCTAACCTTTGTGAGGCAGGTTGGTGCCATCAGCCCTGTGCTGCCAGCACCCACGGGCTCAATAGCATGCTGTCTCCAGGCCCTCCATTGCTGCTACTGCACTAAAAGACATTGGGCCAAGCAGGAGATGGCTGGCAGACTGCTGGGGTTCAGCAGAGAGCTGGGCAAGGAAACCCATTCTGCAGGTAGGGCAAGCCTTGAGACCACATCTACCACCACCCTGCTGCCTTCTGGTGCTCAGCCTCTTCAGCAATCTGCTCTGCACATAGCAAAATACAGCAATCAACTGCTTCCATTAATGTTTGACCATTATTTCCAACATTCCCTTTTACTTTTCCATCATGCTCTCAGCTTGTGAGAATCCTTCTGGCACGGGTACCCACTGTTTCATTGTCTCAGCAATGGGAGCAGATGCTGGCTGCTGATGAATCAGTGTGCCACGATAATGAGATAAACAATATTAGTTCATTTTGTGCTCTGCATTTGTTAGCTGAATTTTTCTTTGAGATGTACAGCAAGCTGCTGCTCTTGCCAGAAAATTCCAGCCCTGCCTACTCAATATCTTCAGCTTAAAATCTGCAAATAATTATCTTGTAAGCCAGGAACTGAGGGCTTTGTCAAGATGGTTTTACAGTCCAAAACTTAATGTAGCCATGACTCAGTTACTGCTATGTCCACCTTTTATATTTTTCACCTGCTGAACGCTCTCCTAGGCACCACCTCTGTTCACACTGCAATTACAATTACAAACACATTGGCTCTGTTTGGCTTTTTAAAACTTCAGGAGAGAATGTACATGAAGAGCCACAGTTGTGCTGTGGGATATTAATGGTCAGGTCTGGATTATCAGTATTGCAGAAATTTAAGAAAAGCATAAGGAGGATTTAATTAATTAGGTGTTAAAAGTACTTTTGCCCAGTCTGTTAGTATGACAAACTTCAAATTGTAGGAATTCCTATCAGAGCTGTTTATCTTTTTAACCCAATTAGCACTTGTAAAACACGTGCCAAGAACCATTCTCTCATTAAAAGCAAGTGCACCTATTTGATATCTCCTTGTGTGTTTTAAAAGGTCGCATGTAATATCTATGTCAGCTTTAAATAACAAGAGGTAAAGCACAAATGAACCCATAGAGGATGCTGGAGGACTTCAGCTAGCTTTCAAAACAACAAAAACAAAAACAAAAAACCCCACCAGCATGAAATCAGCAAGAAGCACAAAACTTAGCACATCTGTCTGGTTTTGCTCACAGCTGAGATGCATACCTTGTTCTACATGAAGCACTGCTCACGAAGAGATAAACCGAGTGCTGGTGAAGCACACACACAGAGGTTTGTTCTCTCCTAGTGTGCAGCAGTCAGCGTTGCACTGGTGGTCACAGCCTGGAGAAGGCAAGCTCTGAGCCCTGTGCAGGGGTGTTCACTGGACGTTTCTCAGCTCAGCCAGTGTGTCACTGCAGGAGCCACTTCCTTGTCTGACATCACACAGAGGAGGCAGCCTGTGAGAGGGTAATCAGAAGATAAGCACAGGTCTGTCTGTGTTTGGCCTGAGCTGGAGGCTGTGGCTCTTGGGGAGGCTGCTGAGGAAGCTGATTTAAGGTAAGGGAAGAAGATAACAAAGCTGTGAAAATAGAGAATCTTGAAACTTTTTGTTAGTTTAGGGAAGGGAGATGGGACACGGTGAAATCCCACATAAAACCACAGAAAGGCACTAAATGGGAGCAGTCAGCCCTGCAATCCACCAGTCTCCAGCTGCCCTCGCCACCCTGGGCCCTCAGAGCCAGGAAGCCAGGAGATGCATGCTCCACCATCTCCCTCAGCTCTTCCACGTATTGCAGCACTAAGCACAGCATGCTCTGCTCTGAGCCCTGACATCATTTCCATTGATCACATGGATTGGGTCCAGGCAGCCAGGTCTAGCATAGCTCTGTTTGCATCAGTGCTGAGGCTGCTGCTGCTGCCCACCAAAGCAATGGGATGGGTTGGGACCTGACAGCCTGCCCACGTTAAAAATAGGGAGCAGGAGCTGCCACCAAGCTGGGCCAACAAGAGAACCTGACACTGCCCTGGGTGCCTGCCTGCACTCGTGGCCAGGCTGGAGTCCTGCTAACGAAGGAAGCAGCCATGGGGTGACACAAAGCTGCACTACCCCTTGCTCCCCTTTCCAGGAGGCAGCACTGCAGCACACGGTGGCATTTTGCTGCTGGCACGAGGTGCCCCGAGAAACATAAGGCCTGGGACGGGGTTGTGGCTGCTCCCTGCAGCAAGGTGAGCCCTGAGACCTGGCTGAGCTCTGCTGAACAGGCTGGAGGGATTGCCTAAGCAAAATGAGAGCTTGTGAGGAGAGCTGAGGGTGAGGGCAGCACTGCAAGGCCCCTGGCTGGTGCAGAAAGCAAACAAAGACCATCCTGGCCCCAGTGCAGGAGCAGCACACACACACACACAGGTATCCCAGAGCTTACTCCATACCTGAAGACACATCGGTGACAGACACCTGGGGCTGACTGGGACGAGGTGTTCAGGCCAGGCACGAAACATGAGCTGGTGCTGCCAGGCTGCAGGACAGCAGCACAGTGTGGAAAGGCAGGCATCTCCCTGCTGACTGATGGAGTCCTGCTGCCAGCCATGGGGCAGCAGCAGAAGCAGGGAAGATTTTCTGCCACCCCAGCACAGAAGCAGCCGTCTGGACAGGCACACTGTCCCCACTCATTTACAGATTAATTAAGTCTCTGTCGTTGCTGGTACCACGGGAGATCTTACTGCAATGCAAATCTGGACCCAACAGCAGTGAAAACGTAAACAAGTCAGAGGAAGAGGTGAGAAACTGAGTGCTCTTGTTGGGAAAAGGACCAAGAGGACGTACAGCACAAAGATGATGGGTAAGAGAGAGAGAACCCAGGTGGCAAAAAGCAAAAATACTCCCATGGAAGGGGAGAACCCAATGCCCACAGAGAAACAGAAATCAAAGCTGTGAGTGAATTGAGGAAAGCACACCATTATGCAGCTTTAAGCATGTAAACCCTCAGGAAACCACCTGAAGCCCCCGATTCCTCGTGGAGTGAGGCAATCCCTCTCCAGCCACAGATCTGCTGCCCTGAGCCTGCTGTGAACCAAATCCCACCAAAGCCTCACCAGGGCGTTCTGCAAAGCCAAAGCACAGTCTCTGCTGCATTTCTCCATCTGCTGAAATTTATTGCATTTCCATATGAGCTGCACTGCTGTCACAGCATCACGTACACACTGTGAGATTTGACAATTTCTTTATTACCAAAAAAAAAAAGAAAGAAAGAAAAAAAAAGCTACAGTACTTTCCTCTACAACTGATTTCAAACCTCCTGGGCTCCACAACGCACAGAGACCAATTACTACTGCTGTTATAGAAAAAAAATGCAAAGTACAGATATGACATTAATCCTATCTGCTGTAGCTCTGGCTTCGCAACAGAGATTTTGCTGGAAGAAGAGCCTACGTGTGTAATACTTGGCAGAAAACTCAACTCTGACTTTGTTACGTAAACCTTTAACTTTTATTTTGGTAAGAAGAGGAGGAAGAGAGGCGGGCTGCTAGGGGATGGTATGAATTTCATGACCATCCACTTCCCGGAGGACACTCCTCATTTTTTGCATATGTGCATAAGTACAGGCTAGTCATGTCACACACAACAACTATTTTCTCTGCTGCACATCAGCCAATATGGTACATGCCAACCGTGGCAAGAACAACAGATGAAAGGCACAGACACGGTGCTAAGCAACTTGTTCAGCAATGCTCAAACTCACATGTAAACAAGAGAAATGAGAGTTAGTTTCCCAAGACCCTCATCAGAGAGAGGCACAGGGAAGGTCTCGCTGGGATTTGAGTGTACTCCCCATTCTGGGAAGCTGACATGGAACATGCTGCCATTAGATTTCTCAGATCCCAGTGGAAAAAAGGGCCATCGTTAAACAGAACATTACAGACATCCGTAACGATGTCAGGAACCTACGCAGCCTGGGAGCTGGGAGATCCTGACTGCAGTGTTTGAGTGCAGAGCAGGAAATGGGCATAGGATCAGGGCCAAGAAAATGGGCTTATGTTTCTTTCAGCCCTGTGTCAGAAAGCTTCACATTTCCTAGAAGAGCTGATGACTGCAAAACTCTTTTTCTCTTGAAATACTTTTTATGGCAGTTTTTGCCCAAAAGGATGCTGCAGGATTCGCGAGCTTCCCTTGCTAAGTCACACTGATGTGCAAGTGTCTCTTTCTTTAATGCTGGAAAAGCAGCAGCCCAAATGAAACGTGATAGCTCTTTAATGGCACACAGATCTCCACTGGGTCCAGCTCCACCAGGCTCACCCTGCAGCTCCAGGTTCCCCAGAGGAGCTGCCTGCTTTGGTGCAGGGAGAAGGAAGCGGTCCTTTTCAACAGGCAAACGCTACAGCTGACAAACAGCACCAGCAAAAAATGGAGGACTGGGACTCATTTCTCTCCAGCACACCATGAAAAAGACATTCCAACAGGACATAACTGCAAACAACACAGGGACGAGTTTCTACCACTGTCTGCTGCCACTTTTCCTCCCTGAAACTCGCTTTTCTAGTCCTTCAGAGCTTCATCTCATTAAATTTCGTCACTGTTCTGTTTTAGGAATGTCCTTGTTAAAACTAAAACACCTGTAAGCCTTCCCTGGGCTCTTACTGGAAAAAAAAAACAAACAAGTGATCTTGGCATCTGTTCAGCCTAAAGTGACAGATGCTACTGAAGACAGAACAACAGAAGTCCCCAGCCCCCTGCATTTAGAATTTGTAGAAGCATGGAAAGGAATAGTGAGAAAGGAACATAAAAGCTAAGGCTGATTTCTTCCTGGTTATATGTTTATGGAACATTTGCTTTGGAACAAAGGCGATGAACACTCACAGTTCCTATTGTGCTTTCCAAACACCCTCAGGTTGGGTGCAAATACCTTCAGTAACCAGCTCAGCTCTAGAAACAAACTGCCAGTTAATTGCTGCTGCACAGACAGCCAGGGAGTTCTGACACTAAGACAGGTCCTACACACACACAGCCTTTTTGGACAGCTGATGCAGTTTTACTTTTGGCAACAGAACATCGCATTTGTAAAATAATGCAGATTTTTGGCTAGTTGTGCCAATGTAAAGATTTGACCTTGAGCTCCATGGCAGTGTCCACTTAAGTACAGAAGTGTGTAGGACCAGAGACCACAGAGTTTGAAACGGCGTTAGAACCCACAGCTATACGTGGCAGGCAATTAGCATTTACATATTTAAGCCTCCAAACAATCCACCACCAGTGTGCCCCACCATCCAGCCAAACAGGCATTTTGCTCTCGGCCTCAGCCCCCATCACACCACCTGCATGCCTCTGTCATGCCCATCTAACTGCACTTTCAGTTTGTGGAGCTCTTCGATCTCTCGGTTGTGGCGCTCCGTTTTGTGCCGCACCAAAGAGCGGTAGAAGTGAATGGTGAAGACAACAAAGATCAGCCCCACTGGGACCATGATGATGGTGGAGACCAGAGCTGCCTGCCAGCCCGCGTGGCCGCTGGGCTTCTGGATGGTGGTGGTGTCGTTCTTCAGGATGGAGTCCACGGGCAGGAACTTGATCCAGCACAGCAGCACCACTTCCGCAAGGAAAAGGAGGATCCCCAGCACCGTGGAGAAGCCCCACGCCAGCTCGATGTAGGGATGCATGCGCTCGTGTGGGGATTCGCTGATGGAATTCAGGTTGTGGATGTTGCTCACTGCTTCCACGTTAGGCAGAATGCAGGTGCTGATGAGAAGGGCAAAGAGATGAACAGCCACCAGCACCGTCGTGCAGGCGCTGAACGCGATGAGCAGCATCTGTGGGTACTTGTACTGCATCTCCAGCTGCACCTCCACCATGGCAACCTGGGGGAACAAGAACAAGAGACCACTACTCAACGGCTGCTGGTTTTCCACCGTTCAAGGCTTTAATCCAGGAAAGCATCTTTACTCAGGAAGAGCACCTAAGGGCAAGCACACACTCGAGTGTACTTTTAACAGCAGCCTAAACGGCCAGCCCCTTCCCTCGATGATGCACACACTGTCTGCAGCTTGGTCTATCTCAAGCTTTACACACACATTTTGGTGCTGCAGTTTTCCAAAATAGCAGCTCCCTCCTTGCAGCCATACGAATGGCACCAAACCGTGCAGGCAGCAGCAGGAGCTCGTTATGCAGCTCACAGCCTGCAGGCAGCCATCCCACTCACTGCTCTCACACCTTCCTCTTCTGCTCACCGCCGGCCGCTCGCTGCAGGAAGTTTCAACATGGTGAGTGCACAGGAGAGCAAAAGCAGCAGCCCTGCTGGCTGGCTGCCAGCCTGCCTACCCGGCCTCCCGAGGGAAGAATGAGAGCTACTTCATAATAATCCAAGTTAGTCCATAGTTAAAATAGCTGCCTTCTATTCTCCGAACGCTAAGTTGGTTTTTATTACAAATATGCCTGGATACAAGCTATTTATATCCCCAAATATCTCCCTTGAGGTCTCATAACTTACTGAAGGGAGGTGGATGGCTACTGGCTTACGGGCACAGTGACAACTCCATTCTCTGAGTTCAGAAAAGCAGGCTCCTATCAGCTAACAAATCTCTGAAGCTGTTCATTTTAAGTTACTTTAATGAAGCAAAGTATGAACAGCCATTCCAGGCTCTGTGTAATGATCTGCACCATTCACTCTGGCATTACTTATAACATTACTTAGGCACTGGGAAATTAAGTTGTCCCTGCTGGTGGCCCTGAAGAGGATTAAGGAGCATGGAAGCAGTGCTGTCTTTCCTGCAGTTAACTTGAAATCACCAGCAGCCCAAAGGAGGGAGCAGGTCAGGTCTGAACAGATCTGCTAGCTGCAGGACACAACACGTGTGTGGGGTAGGAAATGGCAATTGCAGCATGCCCAGGCTTTATTCCTACATCAACTACAAACGATGTAAGAGACGCTAAGAACACTGGAACAGTTTTTGGGCATTCCCAGCCCCGTGTTCTGGTGAGGAATATGTGGTTGTGTTTTTTTGTTTGTTTGTTTTGAGAGGTTCCTGTTAGTAGCTCCTGTCACAGAGAGGGGAAAAAAAACACAGGTTTGGCTTCACCACCATTGCAAGGAAGGTCCATGGAAATAAAGCATACACCACACTGCCTTAAAATCATAGTATTGCTGAGGGTGGAGAAGACCCCAAGCCCAACCTCAGCCCACCATGCCCACATCCTTCAGTGCCACATGTCCACAGTTCTGGAGCAGCTCCAGGGATGGGGACTCCCCTCCTCCCTGGGCAGCTGTGCCACAGCAGCACTGCCATTTCTGAGAAATGTTTCCTAATATCCAACCTGAGCCTCCACTGACACAACTTGAGACCATCACCTCTCATCCCCTAATCAGAGTCATCTTGGTTGGAAAAGACCTTGAAGACCCCCCACATCCAACCATCAACCTGACTTGTGTTCCTTTTCCAGTTCCCTGCACACAGATTCGAGGAGATCAGACTTATCCTCTGCTGCAGTGCCCTGCATGACACACCTGTACAGCACAGCGATCGTCAGTCAGGCTACACCAGGCAGGAGAAGCTGCAGGTGTATCATTCATTCCTAAGGGTTCAACCACCCAGCAACACAGCATCCAGCAAGCTGAACAGGAACTGTACCAGCATGTTGAATCCATAGCTTTATATCAGAGCTGAAAGGCTGGCTGATGCCAACATATCAATTTCTAGCTGTTACCCGTCGCATCAGCAGCACTTTGCAGCTAATTGGATGTTTCCTCCCAGACAAACCTGTTCCCTAGGGCTGGCTTCAGCTGTGCAACACGATGAATTTTTAACACTGACTGATGGTTCAGTAAGAGGTATTTCATAGAAAAACATCAACAATCCAGATAGGGCAGCAAGGCAGAAAAACAGTTTGTTTAACACAAACAGACAAGGTGAGCGAGCTCTATTGCTTTACCCCATACAGATTGTCATGTCATCCTCTGACCGGGATAAGAGAAAGAGGACAAGCTGACATAACCCATTTAAAAGCCATTAAGCATGCTACATGGTCTGTCAAACTATTAATATGTCACGTTCAATACAATTATACTCCTCTGTGATAGCAGCCCCCTCTGCTTTAACCTCCTTGCAGAAGCCAAGGTATCAAGGGATTGACTCTGCAAGGCGCTGAGCACGCTGCTGAGCAGCAGAGGATTTCAGCACGGGCTTAATGTTAAGCTCAAGGATTGCCCTGCTGGACCTCATGCTTGTAGGTTTGCTAAAGGAGCGTGTGCTCTGAATTAAGCACAAGTTAGATGATGGGCTGTGATGCTTTTCTCTCATCATTTCTTTGTAAAGATCACTGGAGCCCAGATTGTCCACAACAAAGAAGTTGCTCATCTTGAGAAATTCAGACGAGCACAGATAGTATCACACAGGAGGATAACAAATGGTTTCACATAGAGCACGTTACATCCACACAGATGGTTCGGCAGCCTGTGCAAACAATCACTCCAGTAGATCTGTTGGGCTTTTTTTTTTCCTCCTTCTTCTTTTCCTCTTCTCTAAACCAAATGCACATCCCGTAGCAATTAGACAAGCGCTGCTAGTGGGAACAGCTCTTCTTTCCAAGCATGGAAACGAAGGAGATTTCCCATGCTCCCTCTCAATCCCCTTTACCTGCAGTCTGCCCAGGGAGGCTCGTGCAGCCATGCAGCCCCTCTGTGCAGCACTGGAGCTGGAAGCAGCCACATCCTCCCGGCCCTCTGCCAGGAATACCACAGATAGCATCGCGTAACGAGGGAGGTTTGCATTATTCTGCAGCCTGTCCAGAAGGAGCTGGATCAAAGCCACTGCCTGTTGATTAAATATCCATCAGCTTGTGATAATTTTCAGCCAATATGGGTCTGGCTGGAATTGCACACACTGACAGGGAAGTAAATAAAGCAATAGCCAAGCCCTGTGTGACACCTGTTTACATGCTATGGGCACACAGTGCTGCACAGGAACCACTTAACTCTAAATAACTGCACCACTTTCATCAATAGCCACTTTTAGTCAGTGTCCACATCCTAAGCACAAGCCTACCAACCTACAGACAGCAACAGATGCATCACCTTCCTCTGGAAGGCCAGTGTGACCAGGCTGCTGATAAAGAGAATTCCTTACTGCAAAAACACCAGTTTCTGAGAAACACTAATTTGGGATGTACTTATTGTATTAAGCTGATGGCCTATGAATAATACTACACCTATTGTTAGAGACAAGGCAAAGGGAGCTCCCTGCCACCAGCTCTAACATGTGCCCACCTACTGCCATGCTTTAATGCTGCTCCACTTTGGGCAGCAACAAAACAGAACTCCCCACTGTAATGCTAAGGAGCATTCACCTGCTGGGGGTGGAGATGCAGGAGTGGGAGCTTAAAAAGCCCACAAAACTCTACAAAACATAGAAAGTTCCCCAAGCCTGCCCATCTCCTCCATGCAGCTCCCTTACATCACATCCTGCCCTCTGCACGTGTGTGTTCAGACCTCAGCAGGAGCTCACTTCCTGGACAGAAAATCTCTGCAGAAGAGATTTCACTCTGGATAAAACCAGAGGGGAGAGGAGGAGGCTGATGGCATCACAGCTCAAAAGCCTGAGCACCACACTGCTATCTCGTGGTGTTTATTTACGTGCTCCCTGACACAGCTCTGACCTATGCAATAGTTCCCAGCTAACACCCAAGCATAGAGCACAGCAAGGACGAGGGATTACTCCCAACAGGCAGCACTGACAAAAATACACTCAGTTTGGCTCCCTGCAGGCTGCACAGCCCTCTGACGTTGTGCCCGAGGCTGCGGGGCCTCTCACAACACGATCTCCCTGTTTGTGCCATGCAAAGTGCTTCCTGGCAGGCTGCCAGCCAGCCTCCACCTTATTACAGGCACCACGTCCTGAAAAAACATACAGAAAATGAGATTAGGACCACAGCTGTGGGCAGGTGCAGCTGGCAACACCTGGCCTTGGGGCACTGCTTGGATACGGGGCAGCTCTCGGGATCGTTTGCAGGGAGGGGATCAGTGTTTGCAAAGGGCTGGGAGGATAACTGGGAGGTGTGGGCAGCTCCTGTATCCACACTGTCTTGGGACAGCCAAGCACATCACAGCACACCCTGCTTCTTCACAGGGACAGAACACCAATTAACAGAGATTTGTTCTTGTTGTTACTTTTTCATAATCCAGAAAGCGTTCCTGCAAAACCAACGTACCATTGCAAATCCAGAGAGCAGAGCAGAGGTTCTGCTGGAGGCTTTCAGCTTGGCTCGGCTCAGGTACAGCTTCCTCCAGGACAGGGCCTGAACAGAGTGGTGGTTGGAGGTCACCAGCTCCAGGTAGCTGCGGCGCACCCAGTCCCGATAATCCATGCCCTTGGTGCCAGGCTCAGAGCAGCAAGCAGGGGTGGAGGGATCCACTGGGACGTTCAGTTCAGAACTCATCATGAGGGAAGCACTGCGGAAATAAAAAAGCCGTGGTCAGGACGAGGCAGCAGACAGGATGAGCTGCTGGAAAAGCTGTGCTGGAACGAGGCTATCCTCAGTCAGTAGGGAAATGATGCACAGAACCACCTGCCTGCTAGAACTGATCAAGAGAACCAGGTGGGATTGCAGAAGGAAACCTGGAACTGCTCCAGCGTGATCAGGGAGGTCACACAGCACCCAACTTTACATGTCAAAGCCAACATCTCTCAACTTTCCCCTTTCACTCCTCCCCACTCATTTGTTTTACAAAAATACACTTTGAAAATACGGTCACCATCCTATTGTTTGGTTTTTAAGTTGGCAGTTTAATGTCACACCGCATCGTGCATCAGCTCCAGATGCATTGCATTAATGTACCAGGGTACATCCAACTGAAGTGCCCAGGGCTCACTCTGTGCTCCCTTTGGACACCAGTTTTTCCATTCACCTATTGCTCAGATCACAGAGGCACAGCTCTTGCCCAAAGCAGCCACGGAGCTGAACGCTGCATGGGGTTAATGAATGGATCTCCCAAGCTCCTGCAGCAGAAACTTCCCCCTGAATCTCCAGCAGCTCCCTGAAGGAGAACTGATCAGCCCCAGCCCCACACCTGTGGGTCACAGGCACCGTGCTGTTTGCCGGAGCACAGCTCCAGCCCTGCCCAGCTCCCCGCCATATGGTGTGGGCTTATCAAGTCATGGTTGCCAGGAGACTGGAGGAAGCAGCCGAGATAAAAAGCACCAACTGCCCCCAGCTCTGAGCCACACTGCTCAAAAGGAACAGTGACCAAGGCTGCAGCTGCAAGCCAAGCACTGTGAGCTGTGAGACTGCCTGTGAGTGGCAGAATTACGGCACTGCTTCCTGTGATGGCATCCTGTATATGCAGAGTGGGGGTGCTGGCTTTGTTTTCGCTGGGACGCCGACAGTCTCTGCGCTGCCATTTGTTTTCATAAAGCACACAGGAATTCAGCATGTTGGAAACATCAAGCCCGGGACAAATTCCATTAAAAGAAACACGAATTCAGAGGTTACAAGGGGAGAACAGGAACATCCAATCACAGCTGCTTCTTTCCTTAGAAAAATAAACTGAAAATACCACAAGGATGAATTTTTACTCTAGAGCAACTCCAGAGATGTTCCCAAGTAAGTAAACATCTGCAGAAGGAGACCCATGGAACAGCACTCACCTGGCTGCCTACGGGCATGGAGGGGCTGCAGGGGGCTCCGGGGGCTGAAACACAAAACCAAAGGAGCGTTTTACACTCACGGTACCTTCAGCTGGAAGCATCCTCACTCTGGAAGCCCTTTTCAGGCAGCAGTCTGCAGCAGAGGTGAGTTATGGGGAGATCCACGCTCCCGCCTTGGAAGTTACAGGTTCAGAACAGAAGCACGCGCGCTGGTGGGGCTGCACCGCGCCGCACAGCACGAGGCTGCAGGACGTGCCCGGAGGCTCTTTCTCAGCTCTGGCCAAATTCGTGCCAGGTCACCGCTGCGCCAAACCGCCGCTGAAGACGCAAGGCGCCGACTCGTATTGATGTCGGTATCCCGCGCAGCGCCAGCCCGGAGGAAGGGAAGCCCCGGCAGCCACCCGCATCCGACCTCCGGGGTGCGATTTCTGCACGGCACGACTGAGGCAGGCAGCCCGGCTCCCAGCGCTCGCACGGCAGCCTCTCCGTGGGCCTTCAGACCCCGCCCCTCAGACTCGTGCGGAGCGGCGTGCCGGTGCCTTCCTGCCCCGCGGCCAGGCCGGAGCCCCAGACGCCCTCCAACCCTGGATTCCGCCGCTTTGAACCCCTACCCGGGTAGAACGAAGCCCCCTCCCCCCGCCGGGCCGGTCTCCCCGCTCACCGCTGCTGCCCGCTAGCCGGTTCGGGCGCGGCGCCCCGGGAGCCGCCGGGTACCGGAGCCTCCGCCGCCTCCACCGCTGCCAAGGCAACGCCGGGCCCCCGCCACGTGACCCGCAGGAAATGGGGGGGCTGTCGGTAGCCCCGCCCCTCGGCACGTGATCGCAGCCACATTGGCCAAGGCTACGCCAGGCCCCGCCCTCTTGCCGATAGCCCCGCCCCCTCCGAACGCGTACTGCTGGGGAAGCCCGGGCCGGTGGATGCTTCATTGGGTGCGGCGATCCCAGCTCTCCATCTTTGCACAGAGAACGTACCGGTAGCACGGGATGTAAATGCGCTTTTATTACGGTTACTATACAGCAAAAGCCTTCGCTAGAGGCAGTGCTGAGCGCTGAAGGAGCCGCCCTTTGTAAATGAGGGCTATGAGAGCTGCTGCTATCTCCCTGCATTCCTCCTCTGTTGACTTAGCAGGAAATCCCGCATAAACCCTTCAGAGGAGCACGGGAGGGGGCAGACTACGGGAAATAGGAAGGAGCTCCTGCCCTGAAAACGAGATAAGGCAGCAGCGCAGTGCTCCAGCTCAATGGCACAGCGGTGTCATCCTGATAGCATCAGTACAGGGGAAGGGAGGAAGCAACAAAGGAAAACAATTCCTAGAAACGTGGTAGAGAGACAAACGTATTTTCCTGACCGTGCTTTTCATCTCTGAGATAAGGAATACCTCTGCACGGTCACAGCACTAACGCTGCTGGCTCCTGTGGAAGTGGGGCAGCCCATCAGGTCCCTGGTGACATCTCTCCTTTCTCTGATGCAGACCGACTCCTCTGGAAAGAAATCCAAAGCAAGAACTTAATGGAAGCAGGTCACGCTCCGGGGCTGTTTAAAATCTTCACGTTACTGCTGCTGTATCTGGAACAAAAAGCAACTCCTGAATTGTTCTTTGTTTTACTGCACTTGGGAGCGCTTCCATTTTTCCGCTCCATGGATGATGCTTCTCCCATACAGATGTCACAGCACCTGTGCTTCGTCTTCACACCAAAACTTCCCTCACTCATAAGTGTCTTTGTATTCTGGAAGACCACCACAGCATGGCATGGTATTATCAGAACTCAGAGCAATGCATACCAAATACAGACCCTGCTGCTAAAAGGATGGCCATAAGGCAGACACCACCCTCAGCAACAGATTCTCTTGGCTTCTTATGGGTTTCACATACAAACCAAGCACTCCTCGCAAATGCAGCACGTGAATAATTCAGGATGGGCAGCACGATGTCCTGAGGAGCCAGGGCAGGGTCATACAACCTGTGTTTAATTCACCAAGACCAACTCAAGTCCATCTTCTTCCCAACTGCAAGAAGTCCTCGTGCAGCACACGTCTGCTCTGCTTAATGCCAACCAGCACTGATTTATTCAGCTCAAAAGCCTGACAAGCTCACAGGCAGAACAGTCTTTGTTTATTTGCAAGGCTCTCAATTTCCCTCCAACCAAAAGCCAACAAACACCACAACGTGGCTTGTCCCACATCACAGATGCATCAACAGGGCATACCTACCCAAAGGGGATTTGAGTGAAATAATTCCCCTAACTCAGCACTTTACACTGTGATAACACCAAAACTGTGGGACATCCAGTCTGTATCTTAAGCACTACAGAATGAAACAGTCACAACTTACCCAAAGCACGTGGTTCTACCCAGCTCCATGTGGAGCTCGAGCTGGGGTGCTATGGAGGCACAGGGGATCTAATCCAAAATGGCACTTGATGACATCTGCTCCCCCACTGTCACAGAAATACCACTGAGAAACCACAGCATAAAGCCAGCACAGAGTGCCGGATTTCTGGCAGCACTGTTCAAGGACTAAAAACTAACAAGTGATTCCTTTTCACTGTTTTTGCTTTAAATAATTTGGCATTAACAAGCACTTGAGAAGAAGTAGCGCCACATTCCGGATGCTGATGCTGTGTGATGCGGGCACTGCTAGTTCAAGATGCACTGAAAAGACAACAACCTAATTTACAAATAAAACCATCAATGCATTTGCTTTTCATTTAAGCATCAACAAACATACATACAGATTATTTTTTTTTCTTACCAGAGAACTCAGTTCAAAGCAGAGGGCTCAACAGAGGGAAAGCCAGGTGTCACTACATGAAGCTTAACACAAGCAATGCCGTTCCATTCCAACCCTTTCTGCTTTGCAGATTTGGAGGTTTTACACACACAGTCTTTAGGAAAACCTTAATAATGATCAAATCCAAAAGCAAAAAGTATATGAAATGCAGCTGTCACCTTTTTCCATATTTTCACGTGCCAGACCGCTTGGCCTTTCTGTTCCTCCCTGCAGCATTGCAAACACCTCTTCATTGCACCAAAATCCTCTTCAAATAAAAGAAGACAGAACAATCCAACACATCCCTTTTATTAATTTAAAAAACACGGAAGAAAAGTAATAGGGAAAGTTTTAGCAATAGAAAAGGGATCTGGCTTAAAAATCTATAGAACTTGTCTAGAACATAAACTGATTTCTTTGGGTTAGAGATGACCCCATACAAATCCCCAGATTCAGAACACTCACAGTGCATGACAGCCTGGCTACAGACCACTTTTCTATTTCAGCCTGAACTCTGCCCTTAGATTCAGGTATCTGATTGCTACCAGCTTTGACAACATCAGATTATGTAGTCCTCACAGTAATATTTTCCTTAAATGGTAATGGGTGTGTTTTAGTTTTCAGACAGAAAAACACTCTGGGCCACGTCAGAAAGAACTCTAAGGTCACAGAGACTTATGGCTGACTCGTTAGAGCAAACAGAGCAGACTGCACAGCAGTTATACAAGCAATTAAGAAAAAAAATCTCTTATTTGGCATTTCTCTATTGACATCTCTCGGGCCTGCGATGCGAAGGTCATTCACCATTAAGCAGATACAACGTTCACCAATGGGTTCTGCTTGGCTGAGATGAAAGACTTTCATGCTTCTGCATGTAAAGCAATGAACGGTGTTTCCTGCTGTCCCTCAGAAGCCTCATCCTCTTCCCATCACAAAACTTGGTTCCTCAGCATCATCTTCCTTCTCTTCCTCCTCCTTGCAATCCTCTTCGTCATCCTCACTGCTGACTCGCTCTTGAGACTGATCAGACTCTAAAAACAGAAACCATGAGCACTGGTAACATATCCATGTCCTCCTCATGTACTTCACAACAAAGTACAAACAGGCATTAGATCACAATGATTAGTACCAGCAGATAACATGCCCCACGTGTCCTCTGTGTGAAGAATCTCACAACAGTGAGTGAAGCCGAGCTCCGAATACCAAATTCTTCCTTGGAGAAGCAGTCCCTTACCTCCAACACTCAAGCTGCATTACCATTGTGACAAGCCCAACATTAAAGAACTCCACCTTCTATTGAATGCTATCTCAGTCAGAGGTAGTCAGGTGCTAAAGTCACAGATTATCTCATTCCCAATCTCACCTCTGCGTGTTGGCATGAGCTTTCAAGTATCACAAAACATTGCTAAAGAATGCACACACCAGGAAGCTGCCTGGCAGGCTCCACGTATTTCAGCGTCTATCCAGGTTCACAGGAACTCCACAGGGTGCCAAAACCTTTAACAGACTGTTAAGTTTATTACAAGCACAGGAACCCTTTAAGGTAGGTGCCAGATTAGCTGGGTTCACAGAAAACCAGTGAAAGACCAGAAGAGAAAACACCTTTTAGAAATTAAATAATGCATATGGAAATTAGGTATGGCATAAAGAGCAACCTGGATCTACAGCCATAACAGCTGTCACACCCCTCCTACCTCCCTGTTTCTCAGGTCAAGTCAGCTCAGGCTCTGACCGCAGTGTGTAGGATCAGTGGTGCGATGCCACCGTGTGGTGAAGTTCAATCCTGTCAGTTTGTGTTGGACTGTAAAACTTCGTGCCAACCCTTCTTCTTAACAGTTTTCCTTCACAAAGGTGAAAGATGGCCACAAGTCCTATTTATTTCTTTACGCAAATGCTTGCCTACCAGGTCTGACAAGCACTTCAATTACTTTGGAAAAAACTCTCAGATCTCAAGGCACACAAAACTAGTCAAAGACAAGCCTGTTCTCAGCAGACTAAAGACAGCTGTATGCGGTTTCCAGCTTATTTATTTGGTTTTAAAATAGAGAATCACAAAGTATAACAAGCAAAGAACTGTTCTAAAGACAGAGGGGCTCAGAACCCGGCTCCCCAAAGATGACTTATTTTACGTGGCAGTCCTGTAGCACAGAGTCCTGGCTCCTCCCTCTCCCAACCCCCCTGCAGAGCCAGGCATTCTATTTCGTTAAGCTCACACTCAGATTCTCCCCCCACTCACAGTTTATGTGCAAGCAGCTTTTAAAAACAAACCAGACCAAAAGCACTCTGCTACATTCCCTTGCTGTCACAAGTACAATTAACCTAATGATTAATCTATCCTCCCACATCTACATGGGAGGCTGGCAGTGGTTCAGCTGAAACAGATCCAAACAAGAGCAGAAATAAAGTAGAACTGTCAGACAAGTTATGTTCTACCACAATTACCAGGAACTGTGTTAACTTCCCAGACTTACTGTGATCAATGGGCTCGGCTCTTTGAAAAATTAAGGTAAAGTTCACTCATTAAAAGGAAGCAATGAGCATCCAAACATTTGAACAAACATCTGTTCCGACACCACTGAACGTTTATTTCCAAGACTGCAGGAGAACAGAGGCAGAGCTTATTTCTACATGACATGAAATAGTTGTGTGGAACAGATGGCACCAAGGTGGCTTAATTTCTTACATACATAATCATAACTTGGTTTCCTGTTGTCCAAGCCGTGCATTTTTCCCCTTTTTCTCAGGTGCATCTAAAAATATGGCTTTCAAAGAGGACTTTGGACAGATGAACAGAAGTATCACACTTAAGACTCAGTCCTATCCATGAAGAATGCTTGGTGGGAGGTGGGATAAGCCCTCCTAAGGGTTATTAGAAAACAGAACTGAGACTTGAAAAAAGAAAACTAAATC